TAAACATTTTTTTGCATTGGGTAAATTCTGTTGACATAAAAACCATTAATTGCAGACTCTACAAATACAGTATGGCCTTTCTGAGGGAGTAGCATAGTTTTTACTTAGTGGACACAGCAAACATAAGAAATAACGTTCTCTGGTCTGATTAGACCAAATTGAAACTTCTTGGATCACAAGAAAATTACTTACTTGGAAGTGAATAAACACCTTTGTTTGTTATACAAAGTAGTAGTAGAATCATGGTGTTTGTGTGTGTTTCTTCTTCGGGTAAAAGGAAGATGAAAACAGCAGAATTTGCTGCAGACTAACAAGAAAAGGTGTTGCACGCTGCAAATATCTAGAGCAGAAATTGCTGAATTCAGTTGTCAAGGACTGGCACTCTGCAAGTTTACGATGTGTCTTTCGTCAACCTTTGGTCCACACCTGAATCAAGTGACTGAATCACTTGAAAAAAAACTGTATAAAGGGACGCTCCAGAATCCTGGTAGTTGTGTGATTGTTAGATGTGTGTGTTAATGCAAGGACAATTCTAATAGTGTCAGGACACCAGCCTTCGAAGACTGGAGTTGCCCATCCCTGGTGTAGAAACTACTGTAGGGGGAGGTTCATCTTCCAGGAGTAAAAAAAATCCCAACAGACAGCCAAAGATACAGTAGAATTATTTTAATCAAACCTTATCCGTCGCATTGAATGACATAGACATGAATCAGTCGAAGAATTGATTGAAAATTAAAGTTCCCTGGTGTTTTTTTATCCAATTTGACTGTAAAAACAAATAAATGCAGCAAAATTCCCAATAGAATGTGCAACCTACTTTAGAGTTTCTACATGTCTAACACTCTAGGTTCATATGATCTTAGCAGTTAGCAATAAGTGATGGACACAGGTATTTGTATTTAAATGTACCTTTAGTAACAGATATTGAAAAGTGTACAATACAAAAATAACAATACGTCTTTGCCCAAAGTAAAACTAAGAAAAAAATATGTCCTTCTGAAGAATGTTCTTCCAGAATTTGTTGATTCAGAAATTCAATAAATGTTCAGGTACATTTTTCAGTTAGTTAGGGGGATTAGTCAAGTCAGAGATTGTATCCGAAGTAGGCTCTCTTGATGTCTGTCAGTGGACTGACACAATCCTACCATAGAATTTGTTGAATGCTGTGGTGTCAAAAGTACACACATTTGTTATTTAGGTAGAAGTATAGATACTCCAGTTCAGAAACACTCTGGTAAAAGTTATCAAGTATCAACTTGACCTCTTTACTCAAGTAAAAGTGAAAAAGTTTGTGCTCCAAAAACTGCTTAAAGTATAAAAGCATAAAGTAACCTTTAAAAAACAGCCAGATGCCACTATTTGAATTGAAAGCTCAATTTTTCGACTATTTCTAAAAATTCTTTGCGATAGGGCCAAGGATGAGGGAGGTCTTGTTGGTCTCCATCTCCAGATACGCTCTCGCCTGTGTCCGACCTTTCAGACATTTCAACATCTTTTTCTGAATCCTACATTGTAGCAGGGCATAGACAATCCATGTTTGCAGACTGAAGAACACCTGCTTGTTTCTTATTATTTCCTTTGGCGTCAGCACAAACATGAGAAATGGCTAACCAATGAATGTTTGCATTGCATTATGACTGATTCAATTACAAAGGCTTTCACTAGATGTGGATGGCACCAATGATCTGCATTGGATGACACGAAATAAATATTTATGAACATTAAACCGAAGCCAAACGTAATGAGTAACGTTTGTTTAAAAAATGTAAGGAATAGAAAGTACAAATACTTGTGTGAAAATGTAATGAGTAGAAGTCATAAGTATAGATACCCAAAAAGTTCACTTAAGTACAGTAGCAAAGTATTTGTGCTTGTTTACTTTACACCTCTGGCTGAATGATGTGGTAGATCTCACAATCCGACTAGGAAGGCTTGCTATCAATGGATAATTTCTCATGAACCTCGTTGGACACCAAGGCTGGAAGCATCAATTCCCACGTCGTCAAAAGACCTGAACTATATTAACAAAACAGGTTTTATAGTCCAAATTCTCCAGTATGCAATTGCTTTAAGCTCAAAAGAATGACTAAATAATCATTTTAATGTGGTGTACAATAGAAAATCAACTTCTCAGTTAGAATAATAACCAGATAGGAGTTAATAATGGTTAACTACAGTTATTTATTTCCAAAATATGATCAATATAATGCCAAAATGTAATTTTAACATTCATGTTTTTGGACTGTTGGAGGAAGACGGAGTACCCGGAGAGAAGCCATGCATGCTCAGGGAGAACATCAAACTCCATGCAGAAAGACCCTTGCTGCACTGCTCCAATGAAATGAAATATGATTACATTTAAACAATGAATTCACTTACATATGGAAAACACATTCATTTGTACACAGTATAATGTGTAACCCACAGTTCTTGTGTGTAATTTCTCACTTAGAAAACCCTTCTTAAAATGATTTTAGAGTGTAAATAAAAGAAATAAAATGTAACACATATCACAGATTACGTAGCTGTTTGTTTCCATTTTAATTAACTGAAAATTACAATTTTTTTGCAAAATGCCTTTGTATTTTAGCTGCAGTCACAATTAGTAAGTGTGACTAGTCCCTTTAAAGTACTCATCTCTTCTTATTTAATTCAATTCAATTTGTTCATATAGCTCCAATTAATTTAATCTCAAATCACTTTACAGTTCACCAGATCATACAGTCACATTGATTCCAAGTTTTTTATCTAAGGAAGACTTTTTGATTGCATTGACTCGAAGGCAAGCCCTCACACTAAGAATACTTGTAGCGACAGTGGAGAGGAAAAACTCCCTTTTTACAGGAAGAAACCTCCAGCAGAACCAGGCTCTGTGTGAGCGGCCATCTGCTGAGGCAGACTGAGGTTCAAGGAGACAGAAGCAGAGATACAAAAAGCAAATGTAAAAGGCAGTCCTGTCCAGGAAAAACACAGCCAGGCTGACATGCTCCGAGCCAGCTCCCATTTCAGAGGATGAAGAGAGCACATCCAGCCAGTCACAGTTAGAGAAACACGACTACACTGAAAAACGATCCTTTCCTCCACTTTTTTTGTGCAGTGCTTATCATTATGAATATCTTTGTTAAATTCTCAAATAAATGCCTTTTAGCACAATATACGCTTACAAGAATTAAAATTGTGCAAAACACTGAAACAATGAGTTAGCTTATCTGCAAGGAGCAGCTTCAACACATTAAATGAGAACATTTGTGTGCAAGCTTACCAAAACGTTTAACATCAGAAAGGATAATCACCAAGAAACCTTCCCTACTATTTTCTTTTTTTAAACACGAGAGTAGACTTCCGCTCTGTGCATCAATGAGTGAGGCATACACTATCTTTATTTCTACATATCACTTCCTGTTACCATCACAATAGCTTCCAGTTTTCAAAATAAACCATGGTATGTATAGAACGCATAAATGAACCCGTTTTTAATCCAAAATTTTATTTTATTTGAACCTTTTAACCAGGGAGCTCTGAATGAAATTGCCTTTGTGGGTGTAAGGCAGAAAAGTGTACAGAACCTCTATCTGTATGTTTTTGAAAGCACGATCAGAGGAATGTTCTCAATTTCTTTGATGGATTTTTGTGAGAGTAAGGGGAGATTTTTTTTTCCTTTATCCTATTTAATTTTTAACTTTTGAAATTAAAGTTAAACAAATATAATAATTTTTACTCTTGACTTATGTCCAAAATCTGGCATTCTATTTACATAACTTCTAGTTGATATAAGTTTTGTTCCCCAGGACCCAAATTTGTTTGCCCTATCGCTACAAAATCAAGTCTTGCTGTTCACCAACATTTAATGTAAGTTTCATTTGGTTTCTTTCTGAGACTGAGCCTAGCATGAGCCCTCTGTTGGTTGCTGCCATTTGCTTCCCAGCCAAGATGGTAGTTAGCTAATTATCCGCAGTAAATGGATTCTAAGCAACGTTGGAAAAACAAGGTTTCATAACATCAACCAATGCCTTCATAGAGCTTGACTTTTTTGATAGTTACAGCTGGAAAAAAGATGTGACACTTGTTTAAACTTCACTGTGGGATCCTGACCTCTTGGATCTATTTTCACAGAACATATCAGTCAAGCATTGGACAGGAAGGTAACCACATTAACAATCATTTTCAAATACTTTCCTATTTGTTTTGCTCATTTAGCCCTCCGGTGTGGCTAACCACGTTTTGTCTCTAAACACAAAAAACAACCCCAAAGAATAATTCTCTATCCTCCTGAACCCAATTCTTCTGCCATAAAAAGCCCCCACACCGCTTCCATCTCATTCATTCCTGGCTGTTGCTCACTTGCTGCTCATGGCTTTTTCCATACACCCTGCTCTCTTTGTTTTTCCTGTAATGATCCCTCTTAGTCTATCCCCTCAGTTGTTGTAATTTTTCAGCCCAGTGTATGGAGAATCCAGATGTAATTGTTGTCAGATGACATTTAGAAAGTCTTGTCGAGGTTCAGAGCTGCAGATGGAAATTATTGGAAGTCGGGGGGATCGGGAGGGAATGCAGAAGGGATGAGGACAAAGCTTAGGAAAACAGGGAGAGAAGCAGAATGAATGTCTAAGGGGAAATGTGAAAGAAGGAAAAAAAAAGTTGCAAGTTGCCATGCCAACAGCACAAGCAGAAAAATAAACACTGAGAACCTCATGCTCTGCTCTGTCACCCCCCACCTCTCAGGCCAGCCCGGGTTCTCCAGTGTGAACGCCTCTGCATCCGATAGGGAGTTACACACTGTTTTTGTTCTGTTTTGGGGGAATCAGACGACTGCTGGCCCAGTGAGAAAATGTTTGACACTCCCCAGAACATACAACAGGAAGTAGAAAGTAGTGTATGCATGCGTCTTTGTGTCAGCAGCACATGAGGCGGACCAGCTGTTTGACACAAACCCAGACATGAGCTCTGAGTCAGTGTCCAGTTGTGGATTAACCCTTTCTCACCACCTTTGTGTCCCTCAGGGTTCGGAGGCTATGGAGGACTGCGTGCAGGGGGCGCTTTCATCACTTTATCCGCCTTTTGAGAGCACAGCACCTCCTCTACTCTCTCAGGTAGACATCACAAGCACACAGACACACATACACAAGGACACAAGAACTGTTGTAGAAATGGTGCTCAGCTGATGAAATCCAAGTGAAATCAAAATGTAACTAAATGGTTATTTATAGCTACATACCGCACCAAGTAAATCAGAGTTTCTCATTTCCCTGTATCCTGAAATATGCTTGTATACACTGTATAAAAAATATAGTAAAGTTTTCTACATTTAAGTCAGACTTAAATCCATTTTTATGTTATTTGAACACTCTGATATTGTAGTCCATCTCCTTTGGAGCTAACCTGGCGCTATGCTTAGGGTCATAGTATCAGCTTCATGATTGATGTCTTGAAATGTTGTTTCAATGTGTGCCGCAATGTCCGGTCCTTATTGCCGCTTAACTTTCCCATTAATCGTGGTTATACACCTTAAGGATTGGGTTCTAAGGATTTATGTTTCACTTTGCAATCATACAGTTTTCATCGCGACCAAACTAACATTAATTTCCACTTCTCTAAGTTGAGTTTAACGTTTAGTGACCAGCAAAAAGGTGGACTGCTCCCATTAGGTCTGGGGATAGGGCTCTACCTTAAGTATTTTGGGGGCTTTTTTTCACTAGTTATGGTAGTATAGAGAGTTTAACAGACATAAAGATCAGAGCTCTGTTGTAATATAGGCCCATTTCCAGTCTGTTGTAATTAAAAAAGAGAAGCCCGCAGAGTGGTAACGTTTTTGTCCTCACCCTTGGTCATCAGTTATGGGTTTTGACCAAAAAACAAGATCTGGGATGAAAGCTGCTGTGATGAGCATTCCTGTAGAATTGCTGGACTGCTGCTAAGAAAGATGGTGATTAGTTGTCTCATACATGGTGAGTAGGGATGGATACCATTCACATTTGATCATCCATGGATGGATGGATTGATACCTGGAAATCATTGTTAATACACAATAGTACATTTTTATCATACCATACAATTGTCACCTAAAATACTGGGCTCATTTACCTGAAGCAGACAAGGATAACAATGAAGCTGCTGCTTTATGTTGCTCGCTGGAGACGACAAGCTATCAGTGTTGTAGCCATGGATCTGAGGCTGCTGATTATTGTCCACTCTTTGTGAAAAATCTTGCATGTAACCATGCATGTTGCTTTCTCAGATTTGAGGTATTCCAGCCACTGGCCTTATACTTCCCCCACAAAAAATACAAGAAGTTTATTCTGCATCACAATTTGGAAAGCGGAGCCCTTCTCTTAAGCACTTTCCATCAGCCTTGCTTGGTTTGTGTTCTATAGCAGCAGTTAGACGTCCTGTGTGTGTGTAATTCTCATTTCTGCCATACAAAATCAACCACTCTTTGAATTCCTTTTTGTCACAATGACTAGTTTGGGTAGGAAAACATAGAACCATTTAATTCTAAATCATAGGTTCACAATAGAGCTCCTTCTCCCCTGCATAAAAATGAATCACCTGAGATAAATTGGGCCTCTAATCAATCCACTCATTGAAGGTTTTCCAGTAATGGTACGTTGGAAAGCATCCCTTCTGGTCTGAGGGACTTCATTACCTTATCTTGCCCCGAAACAGCTTTAAATCCCCCAAATCAGCCAAAACCTATTGCTGAGGAATTGGATTTATTACCTGGACCTATAGTCTGTATTATAAATAAATAGGACTTAATTTCTTGCTTCCTCCGGTAACAGAAAACGTCTCCACAAAGGAATGTCATCTTTACTGATAGTTCACACTATAAACTGACCTATTAGGTTGCATTTGTTGAAATCACATCTTCCTCTCTGAGTTGGCCTTTCATCCCATGCTGGTACACAACTTATCATATTGTGGATTATAACACTCTGCTCCCAGCATAAACCAACATCTTTCAAGGTCTTATGCTCTTCTAGGGTTGATTCAAAACATTATACCACAAATCATGTTCATATTAGGGACTCACACACAGTCACCATCCTCAACACTATGATTAATGCCTGGACATTCCCATAATATTTGCATTAGTGCACACAGATGACATCTTCAAGAACTTGGAATTTAACAATAAGGATGAAATTAACCAGGTTTATGGAGGATCTTTATTCTCATTACTAGTTTTCCCATGAAAGGTTAAGGTTCACTCAGATTACAAGAGATTAATATCAGCTACTCAAGTTCAGTAATTGCTGTTTCTTTTTTCATTGTTGCTATGGAAGAAATGGTTGCTGTTTTCCTGATTTGATCCAGGCCATGGTCCTTAGAACTTTTCCACATAAAGCCAAGTGAATCGAAAAAAATATCCCTGGCTTGTAAGGCTTCAAAAGGCTTAAAACAAAGAGGAGGTTCACTCCAGCAGGACAGCAACTCTAAATATGCAGCTATATGTGTGATGTAAGGGTATAGATAGATACAATATAGATGCGTTAGAAAAAGCAGATGAACATTCACTCCTAAGTCCAATTGAGTGTCTTGAAAAGTGATGTCCTTAGATGCTTTACATCCAGGCCCCGTCCACACGAAGACGAACCCTGGCCTAAACGCACAAATTTTTCACCAAACCAGCCTCTCATCCACACGAAGCCGGCGTTTCGGGGGTCTGTAAACGATCTTTTTTTTTATTCAGCCTTCAGAGTGGGAAGATTTCGAAACGCCGTTTTCGCGTTTCCATCTTTAAGCTCTAACTCCATATTTTTTTTTACACGCATGCGTCATAGCGTTGCCTCTAAACACGCATGCGCGACACAGTATCACAACAACAATGGCGCCATTGCTGCTAATGCTACTCACCCTGCTGTCGGGCTTACAACAGAATCTTCTTCTTCTGGAATATCTCCAGGAAGAACAGAGCAATATCGACGACATAGTTCAGCACCTGAATTTGACTTAACCACGAAAATGGACCCGCAGGGCAACAATGTATAAATATTAGTGCGCATGCCCAACATTTCGTCGCTTATTTTTGCTTTGGCACCACAGCGCCACTTACAGGCCTGGCATACATTTTGCAGCGTTTTCATGCATTCGTGTGGACGCTCACATTTATTTTACGTCTCCGTCTTTACGGCAAACGTTTTGGAAAATATCAGCATTTCGTGTTCGTTTTGACTTTGTGTGGACGGGGCCCCAGTCTACTCTGGCTTGAGCTATTTATCTAATGCATATAGGAAAACTATTTAGTCTCTAGACAAGCAAAGCTGTGCATGTCCTCACCCTTGGTCATGCATCTTTTCACTTATATGCTATTTTTCTTTGTATTTTAACAGTTTGCAGTTGTAAGTTTATGAAAAAAACAGAAATCCTGAGTATGAATACTACTGCTGGGTGTTGTATAAAGGTTTTAAGATATTCCGCCTGAAAAAAATTTTATGCTGTCAAACTGGCTGAACATGTAGTTTTGAATATGTTGTTTTTTTTTCTATTCTCCATTTGTTATCCAGGTCTTCTCAGTCCTGGAGTCAACCTACCAGCATGACAGTCTGCGCTACCTCCTGGACTATTTCGTACCTGCAAAGCATCTCCTGCACAAACTTCAGCAGCATGCCTGTGTGAGTTCCAAAGTGCAAGCAGATTTCACTGCCAGAACACCCACAACGCTGCATAATCAGAAGCAGAATCAGTTGTCACATGCAGGAAGTATAGTGTGGGAAAAGTTTCAGCTGCTGCTGACTTCTTAAATCCTTTGGTGAAACTTGTCCTTGGGTGGTGTTAGCATATACACCCTGGTAAAGGTGATTGACGAGTCAGTCCAAGTCAAGTCCTATGTCATCAAAACAAGCACATTTTTAAGCTTCAGATACTGCAGTAACATTAGTAGAGAAATAAATGGAGTGTTTAAATTTAGATTAGATAAATCCATAGAAAGATTTATGTTCTCTTCTGAAGGATTAACATAAGGCCAAGTTCAAGTAAACTGAGACAGAACTCACATCCGCTCAAATTCTGAGGAAATATCCCTTACTGGTTTCTGCTCCTTCTGTTAACACCAATCCTAGTCTAGTAAATGAAGCTAATCTATTCAGCATGTAATTCATTGCTAAAACAAAAAAAACTGCCACCATGAATATCCAAATCATGTTTCCTGTCCATTAGACTAATTCCTGTCTGTATACTTCTACACTTCAAAAAAAGCGCTAAAAAACATAGTCTGTTTGGTCATTAAAAAAGTAGATATAAGCATAATAGGTTTGAAAAGAAGATTCTGTTTTCATTTTATAGGGATGCCTTTCAAATTTACTTAATAATTCACTAAACAGGACTAAGCTCCTTCATTGGATGAAAACAGAATTAACTCAAATTCTCTGAGTAGCATTCACATTTTTGGGCCAAAGTAAACTTATTTAAGTATCTCCTGGGTAATTCATGTTTAGACCCAAGTGATATTATGCTATGGTAAATTTTGGTCAATTGAACTTAACAACGTTCAATGTAAGAAAAAACTCTAAAACCAAACCAATATTCATTTTTCAAGGTTTTGTAGTCTTCATAAGCATAAACGTGAAAGTGGCAAGAATGTTTTTTATCCCATACCTAATTTGTGTCTCTACAAAAATTACCAAATGAAAGCGCAGTAATATCACTATTTGGAACACATTAGGTGAGTCGACTACCTTTTTTTTTTCAAATAGATAACTTATAGGATTATTTTTTAAAGTGGCTGCAGTATAGAGCCACATACAGGACTGCTGTAGTTACTATAGATTTGGATTCTTTGCTAATTTTTTTTCATGGGCAGAAAATCACTTTGTAATTTTTTTGTGAGGACAGAGCTTAAGCATATTGAAACAACATGCTGATAAAGATATATTTTCACACAACGAAACAATATAGATATACATCACATAATAAATGAAGCAAAAGTATGAGGTTTGCTTTGTAATTTAACACTTCTGTCAACAAGATCATAACACTAAGACAACACTTTACAACCTCTCTGTTACCTATCCAGTGAATTCAACTAAACACAAATAAATAATCAGCAGTATGTGTTCAAACAAGAAATGTGATCCTTTAACTTAATTGCTCTTTCACTGTTCTTTCTATGACCCAAAGTCAAACAGCCGTTGGGCTTCTGTGCATGCGTTAATGCTTTAGCTTTCTCACATTCCTCTGTAGAGTTTTTTTTTTTTTCAGTTTCTTCTGCAGACTCGCTCTGAAATACACGTTAACAAGCAGGGGTTGTGAGCAAATGATGTTTTCATTGTCGCTTAGTGGAGTTGCCTGGGATGGGAGTCAGACTCTGAGTCATGACAAATAATTCCTTCCATGTGTGATTGTGTTACTGCTGCAAGAGAGGGAGGAACCTGCAGGGCGGCGTTAAGAAATTAGAGGAGAGACTCGAGAGAATGACCATGACCTTCGTTCCTACGTTTGTGTTTATCGGTTAAAATAAAAGGGAAGATATTAGTTGCAAGTCATAGCAGTAAAAACTCTGGGGTCTGAAAGAGAAGTAGGTGGAGAGGAGAAGACCACAGAGCACAGAAAGTTTTAGAAGTCATACTTTTTTTTTCTGCTAAGAGCCAAAATGGTAAAACATATCGGCCATTTTACTTGTCTGCAGCTGGACCTGAGTTATAGAACACACAAAAAGGAGGGGGATTGAGAGAAGAAATGAAATAAAGGGCAGTGAGGAGCAGAAGGAAACACCGAGCAGAGGTCAAGGAGGGAATTTAATGTGATCACGTTTCGTGTCTTGAGGATATGAGGAGGAAAGGGAACAGCTCTGTTTCTGTGTTTTAGACATCACTTGGTATAGTGGAAACAAGTTCAGGCTTTGAGTGGCAGGATAAATGTCTGACACAGCATTCATTGAGCTCAGATAAATGCTTGGATGAAGGAGTATTGCAGTAATAGATCAATCTAGTAATTGGGATGTTATGAGAAGGATGTTTTATATATATATATATATATATATATCCTTCTCGTATACCGATGTGTAAATGAGCCGATCCATTTATCCTCCTATAGATTAGTGGGCTTTTGAAACTTGTGATGAGTTGGTCATCTGTAAATTGTTGCCTGACTCACAGCTCTCTAGAGTTTTCCCATTGTTACAGTTCATAAAGGCAGCTTTACAAATTGGAAAACACCTCATTGGTTTGACATTTGTTTCGGTTTTAGCTGTACATGTATCCCCAAAGCTGACCACAGCAAACAGGTTCTAGAGATTCAGTTTATTAGAGATGCTAAGTCGCACCAAATGACACAGAAACTGAATCTCTGAAAAAATAGGATCTGAGAAGGACTCACTTAAAGCAGATTAAGGGAAGGGAATTGGAATAGATGTAACCTTCAATAAAAAAAAAAACTTTCCTCAACACTTTACCTCAACTTACCAGACACGTACCAAGAACTTTACTAAAGCTTACTTTACTTTGTGTGCATCTAAAACTATCGTTAAGGTTAAAAAAAACAATTAGGCTTTGTTTTTTGTTTTTGTTCTTTAAGATTAAAGTCCTTTGTCCTTTACAAGAATAACTTTCTCAATTCAAAGGCAGAAGAAAATTTTTCAACAATAAAAACTGAAGTCCAGCTGATTTTGTTTTTAAACTATTTTAAATTTACCATGGCCTTGATGACTAACAGTCTTGCTGTTTAATAATGACACTAATGTGACACTACCAAATAAAATAAAACATTCTTTTCTGAGCCTACCCTGTATTTCCAGAAATACTCTCCTGACATTATGATTGAATTTATTTTGGTATAACGTAAGGTTAGTTTCCTGAAATTCATGTGATACCCAAACCTTTAACATACCTGTTACTGTTTTGGAATATATGTATTACGTTCCATGAACTTTTCAGATAAAGTCTTTATCTTTGAATCGCTATGCACTACTTTTCAAAACATACAGGGTACATTTATTAAACATGAGTGGTACTTCCAAACTGTTATTATAAGATATATAATTTAGTATTAACATAGTGTTATTAACATTGTGTTTCAGAATCTACGAAAATTATTTCTATAATGGTATTTTCCTAAAAAAAATTCTGGATACTTTTCTGGAACTTTCTGATTATTTTTAAGAACCAGGATGTATTTTGAGATGAGTAAAAAAATGTTATAGTCTGATATAAATCAATGGATGCTTTTTTGATATTGTTATTCATTTATAACTGATTGCTTTCCTGAAACATACCTGTTACTTTACCCAAAGGTGACTAGCAGGGTATTTTTAGGGAAGTAACCTCAGGAAGCAACAGGAATCAACCTGTTGTCATTCAAGCGGAAAACATTTTTTGAAAGAAATTTAAAACATTCCCCATTTTTGTAAACTGTTATTTTTCTTCTCTTCCTCTAATGCATTTTAACTTATTATCTTCTTGTCCCCATTTTATGGCTTCAGTCTCAGTATTTGGGATGCTTGTTCCTTCACTCCGGCTGGCCCCTCTGCCTCGGCGAGAAAGTGGTCGTTCAGCTCTCCACCTTGGACTGGAGGCTTCTGCGCAGTAATGACTTCTACCTGCAGGTGGTGCCCTTTTCTACGCGCTGCCCACGACTGGCCCTCAAATGCTTGGCCCCTGGGGGTCGTACGGTGCAAGAAATCTTGGTCCCGGAGTCACAGCATCCCCTGGTGTTCACCTCTGAGTGGCTCCATAGCATCAACAAAGAACGCGGTCACAAGAGAGAAGGTAAGCCTTACTTCTTATATGATCTTTTAAGTAATAAACAAAATAAGTTAGTTCAGTGAAAAGGTAAAACTCTACAATTATTGGTTTCTGGTAAGATTTAAAACAGCATAACTTTGACATAATATTTTCTGACCAAGATTTGGGTTAAAATTTAAGAGGACAGCTTAAGGTTCAAAAGAGTGCAATTTTTTTACAGTACAGACATTAGTAGTAGCCATTAAAAGTTTCCCCACTTTTCTCGATGGGCCCCTGGCTGGTTCTTAGCCAAGGGCTAAGCCAATGTAGCCAATGGCTACTACTGTAGCTGGTGTGCATCTGTATGTAGCTTGATACCATGGAATGGACTAAACATTGAGTCAAAACAAAGCACAAATATAAGTAAATTTGACAAAAGGATAAACAAACACAGTTTCCTGAGGATTATATGGTCTAAAGTAAATGAACATTTTTATTTTTTGTCATTTGTATGTACATTTGAATTAATATATAAATGCAAATAACTTCCTTCACTGTAATATGAGGATAAAATGTTTCTACATAATCCTGTTGGCAATGAGTATTACATTATTTTATCCTAAACACTAGCCTGTTCACGACTATGCCTGTTATGTGGATATCTCATAACTCAAGTCTATTCATCTTAGAACAGTTATCTTCTAAAGCCACTACTTCATTCATTTTAAATATTTTAAATTTCAATAATGCTTGTTCTTTAAGGAAAATGAATAATCTTTTTCCAGGCAATCACATCTACAATTTGTACAACTTAAGATATTGATCACAACAAAATTTGACTCAATAACCCAAGACACAAATGATAATTATATAAATGCACAATTGAGCCTGGTCGTTCACAACAGAATGGAGTCCAATTAATACACTAGCCATAATCTTTCTCATCTTAGGTTTGTATGCATTCATTGAGCCAAGCGAAGGAAAACCCTTATTCATTAGTCTGTGTTTGAAATGACTAAAACTAGCAAATGTTTGCTATTAGGACTCCTATAGCAGCATTAACATTTGAACCTTAACCATTGATGGCAATAATAATACTGCAAGAGATCGTGTTAACTACTAGAGGTGGAGCAAAAACAATAACAAGAATGGCCTTTAAGGCTGTTTGTCACAGTTGATGACTTATCAATCAACCAACCAACCAATAATTCAACCAACCAATCAATCAGCAAACTTTTCAATATGACTATAACATGATGATCTTTTTAAGTAATTAAGTAATTACCAGGGCATTTATCTTTCCCAATTAATCCTCACTCTTTCCTAGAATCTTAAACATGAAATAAGATTAAGTTGTTATTTAGCATGAAGTGGAATTACTGTTTTTATATGTAAAGAATAATCATGTCAGATTAATACAAACCTTAACTTCTGTCATTTTTACACAGTTGGAGGAGGACTCGACACCTGTCTGGTCAGTACATGTGATGGTGTAGTACGACTACCATGGAAGGAAGTTGTCTACCCAAAATTCCTTCACGACCCATCCGAGGAGCTTGGCATGGTTTCCAACAGACTTTCCAGTGAGGGGAGTAGCTTCCTGAGTGGGTGGGACGGCTCCTCCTCAGGAGACCCAGACACCTGGTCCTGGGATGAGGAAGAGGATGAAAGTCTCCCATCAAACAGCATGCACTCTGCTCCTGCTTTCAGACGAAGGCGCAGTGAAGATGGGCTGGGACGGACGGCAAGGCAACCTCACATGGATGGGGATTATGTGGAACTTTTGGAGCCCAGAGGGGGACCTGATGGGGGAGTTGATCCCAAGCAGAGGTACTTGGAGATGCATGGGATTAGTAAGACCAGAACATTGCCCTTATGCAGGAGAGGTAAGGCCATTAAACTTCGCAAAGGAAAGGCTTGGGGTTACGCAAAGACAGAAAGATCAGGAAGCTTTCGCGGTGCGTACAGTACCAAGGAGAAGAAAGTAAATCCAAAGGATGATATGCTATTGCCAATGCCTCCGATAACAATTGAAGGATCTGCCAGAGTAAGGCAGTCATATTCCTCCTCTGCTCATGACTCAGATGAAGGAGATAAAACAAATAGAGGCAGCAATAGTCTGGAAAACAACAGCCTATATTTTGATGGTCAGCTGAAAGAGAGGAGGCCTGGTGTGGGTAAGGAGAGAGAGAGCAACAGCTTCCCACAACCGTGCAGAGATGGACAACAAAATAAAGACTCTCAGAGCAGTGACAGCTTGGTAGTAAGTGAAATCTATGCTTTAAACCCTAAAAGTGGCCATGATGTTGAGGGCCAATCAGATCATGGTTCACAATCGGACTCTGTGTTTGAGGATGCTGATAAACCACTGAGTGGAGACAGCGATATTGTTACGCCAACGCCAGACACACCAGAGACACTATCTACTGAAGTTACTGAATGTAAAAATACATCAATTAGTCAGTCTAAAATGGGGAAGTCTCCAAAAACAAAGATCCTAGACGAAAGGTTTGAAGGAAGGACGGAAGACAGAGTGTGTCCTAGAGGAAAAGAAGTCAAAACGGCAGGATTCAGAGCGCCACGGTAAATACTATCTATTTTTTCTTATATATTGTATACTTTATTTGAATGCACACATGTACAATTTTGTGGTTTAGGAGGAAAAGGAAGGGGAAGGGTGCCAAAGGCAAGGCCAGGAATGGTGGCAAAACCCAAAAGGGTACAAAACTACAGGGTAAAAGTCCCCTACCAAGTCCCACAGCCAACTCTGCATTATCAGAGCTTCCAGTCCCAGAAGACAACAAGTCTAAGGAAACACAAAATACTGACAAACCTGATGGAGCGCCCAGAACTGTCACTAAAGGGATGAAAAACACAAGGAAAAGCAGCAAAGGTGAGGAAAATGTTCTAACTTTACATTATTTGACTCAGCCCGCAGATATTCTTACAGCAATGTTCCTGCTTTTCTCATATTCCAGTTGAGACAGAAAATGGATTGTTGCCTGTGTGCAATGGTCAGTCAGGCACATCTTTATTTAACCACTCAACTGAGGAGGCTGGATCACCAGAGACATGTACTGACCAAATAAACGGTGTTACCTCCAAAGATCCTCTGCTTCTGAGGGAACTGGTTACAGAATTACTCCAGTCGGGGAAGCTACAGCTGACAGGCAAGATTCTGTAGCTTACATCTATCCTGTTCATGTGTCAGGTTTGCATTTATCTCAAGTCTCATATGTAGAGGACAAAATTAAACCAATGGTAAAGTAAATGGTATGAATAAAAAACAAGCAGGACAGCATCCACTTATCATGTCATTGATCTTTGGTTGTGATCGCTTACCTTTATTTCTGCAGGTACTGTGGATAGATTAGGGCGAGCTCTGGTTTTCACAGATGCAGATGCTTCAGAGGAGGGGTTCTGCTCAGAGGAAATGGCACAGATTTTTTCCTGTTACCACCGAATAACTCGGTAAGCTTAAATAAAGTGTGATTTATGTTCTGATTTTGCTTTACACTGTTTCTGTTTAACAAAGTTTCTCGGAATAACAACAGTTACAAAGTAATCCACCTTTGACCACAATCATGGTAATGATGTGAAAGGGCATAAAATATAATCATTTTCTTGGCTTGGGGGAAAAATCCCATTGGATTATTTTTTAAACAAAAAAAAAATGAACCTAGAGAAGTTTTAAACATGCCCCTGCCCCACCCTGCCCCAGGGCAGAACAGAGCTGATTGTTTAAAATCTGTCCAATTTGATCCACGTATCAATTCAATTCAGTTTATTTATATAGTGCCAATTAACAACATATGTCATCTCAAGGCACTTTACAGTTCAGCAGATCATACAGTCAAATTGAATCAAAGTTTTCTATCTAAGGAAAGCGAGTTTATTGCATCGACTTATTGACTCGAATGCAATCTCTCACACTAAACATGCTTGTAGCGACAGCAGAGAGGAAAAACTCCCTTTTAACAGGAAGAAACCTCCAGCAGAACCAGGCTCAATTTAAGCGGCCATCTGCCAAGGCCGACTGGGATTCAAAGAGGCAGAAGCAGAGATACAAAAAGCAACTGTAAGCAACAGCCAGCTCCCATCTCAGAGAATCAGGAGAGCACATCCAGCCTGTAACAGTCAGAGAAACAGGACTACACTCAAAAACAAACAGGCCGATCTCAAACATCTATAAACAAAGGTGTTGATGGCAGCAGCACAGCTGATACTGCTCTCCAGGATGGTGTCACGGTCAAACAGGAACAGAGGAGGTGAAGCTAATATGAGAAAAAACAGAGAGAGTATAACGTTAGAGATTGAACCAACAATAGAGAATAGAGATGGAATGAAGCAGAATGATGAAATAGGGGTCCCTATGTCCTCCAGAAGTCTATCCCTATAGCAGGGAACGATTTTCGGCCTTGGCATTTTTCCATCTACACCCCAACAAACATCCCAACCTGGCAACAATGCACGTAAGACGGGGAATGTTAGACTTCAGATGCAAAACCCCATTATTGCACCGCAACATATTTTAGCTAAATATTTGATCATAATTTCGCCAAATATAAGAGGAACATCATATTTTCGTTTTAAGAAAGCATTTTGTTTTATTATAATTGAGTTTGTTGCAAGGATTTTACAGTTTGAAAATATAGAAAATTACAGCATAAGCCAACCGTCACAAGGATGTGCATGACAAGGAAGGGCGATATATACTGAATTTATCATTAAGGTAGTTAACATTGTATTACTTCTTGAGCTCCTTGAGTTATTTACTGTCACCGGTAGGTGCTTCGGCCAGAGTGTAAGTGTTGGGGCCGGCATTATGTAGGGAGGGCCGGCCCAGCAGATTACCATTAATTTTAGGAAAATTTCAATGAAGACCCAAGGAAAACTATTTTAACAGAACTTTTTCTTCACATTGAACGATATAAAGCAGAGAATCCTCGGATAAAATGCTTTATATTTAAAAATTGCTTGTAGTGATTTCCAAATACTTTGTGAAATTTTTTAATATTCATAAGAAATATGTTTATCAAAAGATTTTTTTAAAACTCCCAACTTAGTTTGTATGATATAAAAAAATTACTGGTTTCTATTATGTCACTGATTCAATTCTAATTACTTTCATTGATACAGTATTCTGCAAAATTCCATAATTATTCAACACCGTAGTTTAGAAAATGTTCAAGAAATTACCAGATTATATTGTCAAAGGTCAGGGTTTATGGTTTTGGAAATTGATAATTGGTCAAAGCAATTTAATCAGTATTTTAAATATTGACCAAAATTGTAACACCAACAGTAATCTGACAGGGAACTCACTAGAAATATTAACAGAAGACATTTCAGATCAAAAATATGTCCACATATCTTACTGAACCCCCTCCATTTTTCTTTTACTTGAAATAATAACTTTTTAATATTTTTCTATATATTCATTAATGCTGATTTCGAATTGTCTATTCATGTTAACAGTGAAACTGTTTTGTGAGGGAAACCTGAAATTTGATCTAACGTTCAAGTTTTTTACAGACCTCATTTAGAAAACCTACCTTTAGATTTGCAATTATCTCTGTGACCCCTTGTAGAAAAATAACAACATTTGTTTTTTCTCTAAAAAATGCTTTACCCATGTTTTAATCACCTTTATTTATTATTCCTCATCAGGCCTGAAGCCAAAGAAAAGGGGCTGACGGTGCTCATAGACAGCAGACGATCCCAACCATCCTCTCTTTGCCTCTCTGCACTTAAACGGTTCCAGGTGAGGCGAAGGAACAACAAAGTAGTTGTTAAGACAAATGTGCCAAATATTTGCTCGTGTGCTTAATTATACTGTAGATAGACTGAAAGAACAAACACAGGCTTTCTGTGTGTTCCAGGTCTTGGTTCCTGGGGGTCTTGGATCAGTCTTGGTTTTGGTGGAGGATCAGCAGGAGTCCCTTTCCTTAACAATAGAAGGAATCGAGGTGACCTCACACAGACAGCATGTGGAGGAGGAAGACTAACAGCTATACAGATATTTATATACTGTATAATATAACCAACTTAACTCTAAGGTCCAAACTTATATCTGTTTAACCAAAATAAAATGCTGTTTGCTGCTCATAAGAAGCTATTTATAACTAATTGCGTGAACCTTACTCCCTCTCTAACATAATCAAAATCAAGCTTTAGATTCTGCAGATATGATGATGTCAGATTCCCTTTGTTGGGGAATTAATTCACTATGATTTTGACCCTCTGTGTTGATCCTGCATTGCAACACTTTTCAAGCAGCTGCCTGAAGTTAGAGCTTTCATCTGTCAGTCAGCATTTTTTAAGCAAGCTTGCAGGGCAAAATTATCTGAGACATGTGGTTTGTATATAAGAGCTTGGCAGTTATGAAACGTTGCTTGTTAAAGTGACATCCCACCAAATGACGGTCACACTAAGCTTTCTTTGCATGATAACAGCCTGTTCATCTTTTCTTTCTTTACCTTTTGTATATTGCCTCTTTTTATAATTATCTGTTTTTCTTCTCAGACACACATGGTGCGTGGCACAGGAGTCCTTCAGCAGTATGTGGACAACCAGCAGCTTCCTAAAGGGCTGGATGGAGACTTCAGTCACAGCCACTCAGACTGGCTGGCCTTCAGACTGGTAGAAATCCTGTTTGCTTCTTCTGTTTAGATAAAAAAGCGTCTCTGTTGTCAGTGCTAGATCCAAGCAGTCACTGTGATTACTGAATTTAGTGTGGAGTGGAGTGATCATGAGGAAATCAGACTGGAAACATTACCTCTGGGGTTTAACAATTACTGACAGACATGGTTTTGAGCCAATCGGGGAGGTTTAATCAAACTTCCCGAAAAACACAACGGTTATGGCATGCTTTTTTATTCTAAGAAACAAAAATATATTTTAGGTATTGGCTAAAAAAAAAGGTTTTATATAATCAATGAATATGGGGGGAAAAAAAACTGGAAAAAGAAGTCTTGGAATGAGTCCATATTATTGATTCCAGCCCTCACTTTTTTCTTTTCTGAAAGTTCTTAAATGTTCCCAGTCATTTTATATGCCTATAAAAAAAATAAATAAATAAAAAAAATAAAAAAAAACATTTGATCACAATAAAATAAAGCAATATACACCAAGTATCTGTCCTGATCGTGTCTGGATAGTCCTTCTTCATCCTAAATAGAACCCCAGCGGGGTATCAAAAGTATCAAAAAGCCTGAATAGAGCCCAGCCAGCCTGTAATCCCTCACAGTAAAGCAGCGGCTTGGTATGATCAAAGACCAACTGGTGTTGGTGAAAATAACAATTTACAGCAAATCTAAGAGGCACGTAACAGAACATCAAGGAGAATAAAAACTCCAAACCATAACAAACGCAAACATGGACACAACATTAAGGTTCGACCCAATCAATCAATCTCAGTCAATCAATCAATTCATAAATCAATTAATTTTTTTGTTCTTAAAATTGTAGCAACTAAGATGGCATTGTTATTAGTATTCTCACAGTATTAATGAGGATGTTTATTCACATTAATTAACTCTGCAAATACAGAACGTCTCGGCAGCTTCAGCAAACACCAACATTCATACTGTATTCCCAGCACTATTCCAGTCTTATGCTAACTGAGATGCTAACTGGCTAACCGTTAGCTACCTGTGCACATGTGTTTTGCTCGGTGGGTAGGGACCTTAGACTTTAGTCGTTTTGCATACACAGAGTGTATACAAAAGGACATTTCGTTCTGTACAACTCTCATGACATTTCCATTTCTTAAAGTGCAACAGCGCACTTTGGAAACTGGTGGTGTCTATTGTTAATGTAAATAAACACAAAGAGCTTCGTTTAATAACAGAATGAGCAAAAAAAGTTACAGCTATAAGTCAACAGGACAGGAATCTTTCAGAAAAAATAAAACTTTGTATGCAAAGAGAGTGTTACTATCATAGGAATTGAAAAAAAAAAAAAGAAAATTATTGTGGCTATACCTTTAAGGTTATTATTGCTGTGCTAGGCAGCAAAATATCTTATGCAAATACATATTTGTTGACATCCTTTTTTCAAAACAGTGTAGAAATGTCAACAATTTAACATTTTCTTTTCAATGTTATCTGCAATGTACAAACATCAAGATTTGGAAAAATTTGCCTTCTTTATATTACAATATGTAACCGGAAATCATTTATCTGCCACATGTTATGATGGCAGAAAATGTATAACTTAACTGCCCACCTGTAGATCTGCCCCTGCTGGTTATATATTTTAAAGGTGGAATAAAAAATCAATAGACCTTAACATTTCCCCCAGTTTGTGCCTCAGTTTGGATAAAAAACCTTTATGTAGTTTTCCTTTTTTTGTTTCCTCCTTATGATAAAACTAATTTAGTTAAATGAGTCCAACTGAACTGACTGAATTGGTTCTGTGAAGTTTTGAATTCCTTCATGTTATATGAAGCTACGAGGAGGGTGAGGGTGAGAGAGCAAGCTGAAGAGAGGAATGGAAAGATAACAGGAAGGTGTGAAAGTCTGCCCTGCAGTGGATGTTGAAGTCACTAATTCCACTTGTGCCTTTGCTTATTTCCAAACAGAGGTTGGAGAAACTGACCGAGCACTGTGAGAGCGCCCTCTCTCTGCTCAGAGAAGCACTGCAGTCAATGGAGACAGAAGAGATGCCAAACAACATTAAGGTAAACTGCTGCCAATCTTCCAGCAGATGCTGTGTGTCCTTTCCTGCCCACTGTTTATCTAATCGTTAAAACTTGATGGATGAGTTCTGCAGTAGCTGAACTAATGGTTTTTCTTCAGGCTATTCCTCAGAGCATTGACAAACACCGACAGCTCATGGCGAGTGTCCTGGCTGACCAACGCTTAACAGAGCTGCAGCAGAGGGGCGGAGCCTGGCTAGCAGGACTGAATAACTGTTCGTCTGGACTGGCACAGAGGTCACCTGACTGCAGGTACCAGACACCTGAATCCACCTGTAGCTGTAGATTCAGTTCTTTTCATCTGGCTGGCTGGCCTACACAGGTAGCATCACCCTGTGGGAAAGTGTTTTCCTTGGTAGGAACAGGGACAATGACAAAGGGGTGAATGGGTCTTAATCCAGAAAATTTGAAAAAAAAACCAAAACATCTTTGAATGGAATGTTTTACTTTAAAATTTGCTGCAGTTTGGGAATGACCAACTGGCCTAATCATACCCTGACAAGAATGGAAACAGACGTTTACAAAAACATATAATTTAATGTTTTTAACTTTGCTTCAGTTTATTTTAAGACGGAGGAAGGGAAAACTATTTCCATATCAGCAGCATTAAGAGTCTGGCCTCTAAGCCAAGGCCCTTTGCACATAAAGTTTGCATGTTCTAGTATGTGTGAGTTCTTCCTGACGGAGCTTGACACCAGCCACCCACAACCACGCCCTGACCGGTGGATGATGGATGTACTGATAGCAAAACAGGAAGGAATGTAATGAGTGACAGTACCTTTACATGAGTCATATGATTTGTAAATTCAATGGACATTTATACACTGTGTCAATAGTATATCTGTGGGGTTTTTTAAGTTGCACCAGGCCTTCTTGACTGTATTTGCATGCTGTCAAGTCTTTGAACACAAGTCATTTCAAACTATGCATGAAAAAAACAATCAGATAACAAACCAACCACTGTTTGTTAGTGCTGGCGTTACCACTCAGCTAATGATGTGTCCTCGTTCAGTGGTTAGTGGCTGAGCCACATCATCTCCCTACCCCCTCCGACACACACTATGAGCACAGTCGTCCCTTCAAAATAGAACAAGTTAAAGGGGAAGTACCAAAGCTGAGTCAGACTCTCATTTTCTTACTTCTCATTTGAGTTGGGTTGTACATGTCCTTGTAAGTAAAGTGCTGTGAATAAGTATTTAAAGCCTCACAGATTTCTCCGGGTTTGAATACATAAATATTTCTGAAGTGTAAACAAGAAAATCCACAAAAGCTGTGCAAATCAATTCTGTTAAAGTAATCACCACTGTTGTTGAAATATGGATTAACAATAAATAGCCACACAGTTCAATTTATTTTGCTAATAAAAGGCGTGATTACTTTTAGACCTGTAGAATTAATCTAACTCAAACGGAACTCTACTGAAATCATCAAATGGCTTAAACTATAAAAAGAGAAAGCAAACTAAGATAAAAGAAAAAGCTCCAAGTCTATTTAAAGGCTTTGAAGGTTTAAACTACAAGAAGAGCTTTGAGTTTTGAAAGTCCTCTTTGGTCACCATACCGTTTTAATCTACTGATTTTGTATTTCCTGAGGTACTTTTTTTGCTAGACAAAAAATCCTAGTCTGTGTAAAGTCCCAGACAGTTAAAAAATTCAGCTACATGAATGAAGCTAGCAGGGAACAAGCAAACAGAAAAGTATGGCGAGGAATTACCAAAGCTTGACATGTGGGCCAACCAATAGTTAAAATCCCAAGAGCTCCAAGCCAAAAGAAAATAATTCAATAAACCTTTAGTTCTATGTTTGATTTATTTAGATTGAAAAAGTTGAAAGAGTTCATGCTGCCCGAAGAATCAAGAGATAATGCTTGATTACTAGCACACGTTTTTGAAACCCCAACAGGTTTTTTACCATTGAGTGGTTACACCTGTCTGTCATTTTGATTGAGCAAATTAGATTGTCTAGAATAAAGTAAATAAAATTTACAAAAGCAGATAGAAAAAAAGTGCAGAAATAATGGAAATAAGATTTAAATATGGACCATGAGATTTTCTTTTGTGCTTGAACAGGGCTGCTCTCGCTGCCACTGCTCAGCTGTACGACAGCGTTGACGACGCCCTCCATCAGCTCGTCCAGGTTTCCAACCGGAGAGGCCGGGATCTGGAAGCACTGGGACGACTGGCAGGGCTGGTGGACAAACTGGAAAAGGTTTGTGTGTGTTTTTAAGAAACTTTCAGAAGCAAACATTTCAAAGGTTAAAGGAATAGTACACCCAAAACATGATT